GCTAGTATATCTCCCGCTGCGGAACCAGTGCCCACAGATCCCAGCGGTGAACTAAAAAAGCGACCAGCTGAGGGGCCCGCGCCCGACGAGGATACCGGTCGGGGTTGGAAGTTGAAGAAGAAGAAGCTGGACGTGGGATTAGGAGAACTGTACGATCCCGGTCTGATTCCAATCAGGCTGAAGGCCAAGAAGGAAGAGCCCTCTGAAGACAAGATACCCGAGACGGACGCGGATGCTACTCCGACTGCTTCAATATTCAGAGGTGCAACACCCTCCGAGGCACCAAATGCTACCTCTGTGCCGAAGTGGTCGAAGGTTCAGTGGAAGAAGCCTGGAGAAGGATCAAATAGTCTTGCTCCTGAGGCAAATGGCGGATCCGTAGCTGGAGACGAAGTTAAGCAGGAGTCTCTTGACGGGAAGTCCCTAATCAAAGCTGAAGATCCGTCGCCCCCACTTCCGTCTGATTCTGCTTTGTCTACGGAGGTCCCGCCGACGAAACAGGAAGAGGTGCCGGCGAAGTTGGTGGAGGCTCCCCAGCCGGGCAATGCGCTTCCTGCCTCTAGCGGCGGCAGTCTGTTTAAGAAGAGGAAAGCTCCAGCGGGGACTGCGGGAGCTAGATCGAGGAGAGGAATGTGAAGGTGACTCGACCTACCACTTGCCGGACTTTGTGTATCACTAATGTTGGCGTATAAATGAACTTTGTCGTGCTTGGGGGTTCCGTAACTTCAGTGAGCGTGTGGCACTCATGAGCGGAGGTTGTCGTTCTCTCTCCATCGTCCTGGCTGAATGTTCCAGCTTGGATTATGGGCAGGGATCTATCACCGCTGCGAGGTATGCAGCCAGATGGCCAACCGCTTAGGATAAACCTGTTGCTCGTCCCAGTGATGTCAGCAGAGCCCCCAGCATACTGCACGGCATGATTTGAATCCCTCGCAGGACCCTCCGCTTTCTCTCTCGTATCGAGCTATGAAGTACGTCTGGCAGTCGAGTTTTTGTTATACCAGTAACATCGGACCACATTGACGGACGCGAGATAACCCGCAGCACGCGTATAAGCTCGCCAAGCTTGGCTATTATATGACAGTTTCGGGAGTTCGCCAGTCTGAGCTGGAATCGACGGTCGACCTGGTTCCATAGGACGACCCAACCAAGCAGTACGCTGGTAGAGTCATGTGGCTCTCATCAGATCACGCCAAAATAGACTTCTTTGTGTTCTATCTTATAGATAACCATGCGGCTTTCCAACGTACAGATGGACCCACAGTACTGCATCTGGCGGGTGGTATCTTAAGGACGCTGCACCTTCCCTTTGGTCCCCGAACAGCTGCGACGAAGACTGTTTAGACCCTGGTATGGACTTGCGAAGCTTCTATGATATGAGAAATACGTGAAATTTGTGGGCCATGATAGAGGTGACGGCCTTCTGGAGGCATTCTTCACAGGTGCGCTTACTTCACGACATGGGTCGTACATCTTCACATACGCTCGCGGTTAACAGATCCCCGGACCTTTCAGCCCCAGCGGAACCCGAAGGGCGAAATTCATGGATGCGGTTTGTATCCGGTTCGTTTATCTCTCACAATGAACGGAGCACACTGGCTGATTCTCGGCGAAGTATGCTGGGGGCGGACGTTGATCAGCTGTCAGTGCGCATGCACATCTACATGGACACTATTAACGTGTATATCAATCAGATGACGGTGTTGCAACAACGTTTCGCCAGGTGAGAGTCCGTGAGACCTGGCTGTCGTTGCATCCATATTGATACTACATGCGGCACCCAGATGAATTACCAGACTGTCTATTATGGCGTCAATCCGCGCCCTCCGGAGTATCAGCTCGTTGACGTGATCCTCGAGAAGAAGGTATGTGTGTAGTTGTGGCACATTAAGGGTTTGTTGTTATTCACTAACTTGCTGTGGATTAGTGAAAACAGCTCGATAAAGTCAAACTCCGTGGCATGCAGGAAAGAGATGTCGTACTGCAGATATCTGTGAAGTATGTCCGATCCTTTGTCAGAGTCTCAAGAGTTGTTGACTTGCCGTGTAGCGGGATTTGGGATGCTCGCAGAGAGCCTCGTATATGGCGTACCTTTCGCATCTCCGCCGGAGTGAAACTCAGCATCTTCCAGGACAAGGTTATTTGCCCTATAATGGGATGGTGCGTACTACTGCTCGCATTTATTATTTCCTGGCTGGCTAGAACATACTACGGTGACATATATACTGCCAGGCTTAGGAACTACCATTGCTACATATTCACGGACTGCAGGGATGGAGTGCTCTTTGGTCCTGAGGTGCGGTAGTCCAAGATTGATGGGACACGAGCAGCTTTCTCTGAGCATCGGCTTCATAGGAATCTAGTGCGATTGACCGGATGCATTCCACTCAGGTGCGTCGCCAATTACGTTCCAACGTTGGGAGATTTGCCTCTGAATGTAACACCCCAGGTCAGTTACGAATGGCTGCCCGATGACAAGTATGATGCAGCTCATGCCAGTGATCAAGTGACTGCTACTTAACTGCATTCACAGATACTTGTAGAATATCGGCGCTGCGCGGCACACCGGACCCGATTCCCACCATCGGTATAGAAAAATGCTATGCCCCTACTGTCGGCGGATTAGAGTGCATTCACTAGGTTATTTACTGGAGAATTTGAGGAATACGGCTGCACGAGTTTTGGCATATGATGACGCACCGGCTGGCTGGAGTTCTGGAACAGCCCCACTCTAATCCATAACTAAGAAATCCGGCACGATAATGACTAAGATGTGAAAAAAGAAAAGAAAAGAAAAAGAAAAAGAAAAAGGAAAGGAAAGATCGGGGTTGGCTCTAAGAGCCCTTTTGTCAATCCAATCTGAAGTCTAGCAACTGTATGATGCACTATGTACCATCCGGTAATTT